AAAAATAAGACACATGTTTGTGTAGCTTGTGTCTGATTGCCGATTTGACTTTTGTTTGATTGAAATTAACATGAACTTTTGAATTTGACAATTCAAGAAAAAAAGAGCAGTTACGTTTATGTGATTCTAAGGGACTTTTTGGATCCATGTTTAAATTTAAGGTAAGAATTTTATCGTGTTAGAATTATTTCTTTGAACAATAATCCCTTGTTTTAAGAAATTGGATATTTTAAAGTAGATTATTTTGTTATTTTGACAGTTTTTATGTGTTACATGATAAATAGAAAAACATGCTATTGTCTTTTGATTTCCAATTTATCAGGTTCGGCTGATATGGGCAGAAAGGGCTCGGCAAGCTTCGCCCTTTCTAGCCCATATCAGCTTGCCTGATAAAATTGATATCAAAGGACAGTAGCATGTTATTATCTATGTATTATCATAAAAGTCATGTAAAGATAATATAACTCTAGAAAAAAAGATGAAGAATAATAGACTCGCTTTGATCGAGACTGTTAATGAGAGACACTGATAGGTGCGAGCACTTACTACTACACCAGCTATCACCTGCAGAAGCAGTATTCGTTTGTCCATACAATTAAGTAATATAATCAATTATCCTGAAGTGGCAGAAAAACAATAATTACACTGAGATGGCTGGTTTAATGTAAGACAGTTAGTTACTCATCAAGCTAATGGAAGACTGGCCATTCTAGTATGTCATATGTACCGACTTTCAAAAAACTACCAAACAAAGATATATGAAACATCCGTAATATTTAAACACTTTTACTTAACACAAACTGTTGAAATAATAACGTCCTTATTAGAAACGAGTAATTGTTCTCTAAAGTCGCTGCTATCAATTGCTAGAAATATCTAATTAAAAATATCTAATGATAGTAAGGCAGATAAAACTTAAAGAAAATTAATAATAAAATAGAGAAAATAAGAATCCATAAAAAGCGCAACACGGTAAAATTGAAAATGTTGCAGGCTCGTTTTGATTTAGCCTTTTTTTCATGGACAGTACTGTCAAGTACAAACTCCCGTCCACGCCCCCTAGCACCGGCTTAAGCAGAATTCAACATTTCACATGAACTGGTACAATTTGGAATTTTGAAACATCCGCAGATGTGTTCATATGGCGGTTATAACTTAACGTTTTGTTAACCATTTCAAAATTGCTATATCCATTTTTTTTTGCTTTCGCGCATTTTTATGACATTCTGAAGATTTTACACTTGTAAACTTCTTGTAGCTGATAATTGTGCTTAATTGTTTTTAACTTTTAAATGGTCGTAAGGTGACTCTAAATTAAAGGCTGACTGATTTGTTTGATTTTCACTGCTTTAAGATAATCATAAATATAGTAGCGAATAAGAAAATCATGTGAATTGTTGAAATCATAAGTAACTAAGTTGTAATTTGAAAATAATACAATCCCTCTTACTGAACCTACTTTTATAACGAGAAAGTAAACATAAATATCTTTCTATTATTGAAAGGATAACATTATAATTCTAATCGTATAATTTATTGTTTTATTTTAAGAATTTGGGCCTATATTTAATATAACTATCTTTACATCGGACACGTTTGTGATATATATTTGCTCGCATTTCATGAAAATCGTGATGAAGAAATAAAACAACAAGGCGTGTCTTTACAACACCCTGAAAAATCCTAACTGTTGGCAACATGAAAAGAGCATCAATGAAATTCATTTATTCAACATACATTATTCAAGAGGTGTTACCTTTTACCAGGATGTATTTGATATTCTATACGAACATATCCTATTCCCGAAAATAAATACACAAGTTTCAACTCTTCGTGAAAAGGTGCTTTGTAAGTTACCATGTGATTATATTCTTAATTATTCTTTCTCTTTTTATAATTTTGTGTTATAATACCATCATGATATCTTTTATTAGTAGATTAATTTCGTTTGCATTTATCAAGTGTATCATATTGAAAGCCTTACCGGAATATATGTACTATATGAACCAAGAAAAGATCTAGTTATACAACAGTTTCAACTCTTCTTGAAAAGGTGCTATGTAAGTTACGTAGCGAATAAAATATACTTAATTAATCTTTCCCTTTTAACTTTTTTGCAATACTTTGAATGAAATTTAAGGAGCACGTCATGATATATAGAACATTTCATTAAAATATGAGAGTATTTAAATTATAACCAATTTGCTAATAACAATATAATAAGCACACAGTGATCTTTTATGATCACAAACTATCCAATAAAACAACGAAATACACAAAATACAATTAATTAATGTTACTCTTGAAATCAAAACAAAACTATCATTCAAAGCAAACATGCAAAAAACCTTGGGTAGCATGTAGTTACATACATGTATATGACAAATGACTCCTGTCTATATTTTCTGTTTGCAAAAGACATCTTGAAAATAGAAACACAAAACAAATTTAAATTGATTTTAAATTGATTTTATCATTTTTCATTGGTTCCTAGTATATATTTTCCGTTGAGTGTGAAATAAGTTAAATGATATCAGGCGACTGTTTTCACCGTGAAAGAAATGCTACGAAACATAATTTTACTGAAATTTCTCAATTTATAATTTTTCATTACATGAGTGGCAGCATAAATCATGTTCAATTGTAAATCAATTTGCTACTTGACATGACTGCATATTTATATTTAACATAAAAATATTAAACCCTGCTATTTAATCCTAAGAAAACTATATGTCAAGTACAACTAAATGACAGTTTTCCATGGTTACCTTTCCGCGATATTTTATTATTTGAAATATTCTTATTATGTAGTCTCTAAATGTAATGCATACTCGTATCCTTTTAAAATACCTGTATAACTGTTCGATTCTATAATTTTCTAGAATAACCAAAAATATAAATCCCTAAAGAAAGCCCAACACGACAAAATTGAAATTGTTGCAGGCTCGGTTTGATAAAGCCAGTTCATGGACGGTACCAGAGACTGTAAATAAGAGGGATAACACAACAACAAACATTACTGTAACTAATATTGAATGATTGTATATTATGTACTGTGTATGATTATGAATAAAATATGTTTAAACTAATATCTGTAACTACATACATAATGATTGTCTTATTGAAGCACGCAGCAAGTAAGATACTTCGACCTCTTGACTTCTCGACCCTTTAAGATATTAGGATTACTTCAAGTCCCCTTGACTCTTAAACCACTGCTTTCATGACTTTTCGATACCCCAGTTGGTAAAAGATTTCGACCCCTACGGTACTTTATAAGGCCAGGAAGATAACACTTTGAAAAGATGAAGTAATGAATTAAAATTATTTCTTACGTGTATAAAAATGTAGTCGATTAATTCATTAGCTTCAATCAAATAGTTCCTAATGCATTTTTTGTGTACATACTTTGATATCCTTTGAAAGTTGTTTAAGTTATGTATTTACTTTTAGGAATAGAACAGAACAGAAATTTACCTTAGACTATGCTCTTTTGGAGTAAAATAATTCTATTGCAGCAATCATATAAATCTAGATCATTCTTACTGAATACGATCAATAAGGGAATGCACTAAGTAACATGGGAAGCTGCATCCCCTCTAGGGTGGTCCTTTTGTTAAAAATGTCAGTTTATTTAATACCACTATGCATTTCTGCAGTGTTTAACTATAATATGTAGCGCTTTAAACATGACAAATTTTATCTGTGTTTACTTAAAACATGTAATAACAATTACACACAGGCCGTGTAGCAAATATTAATATTTTGAAATATCCAATTTGAGCATAATTGAGCATAATATATCTTTTAATTGATTTATTTGTCAAAATGTTAATGCGATAATATTCTAATTAATACTTATTATAATCAATCTTTTGTTATAGATATAATTTAACAAGTATATATTAATTATTTTCATGAACATAGCAACTTTAATTGCTAAATGATACATAAAAGCAAAACCTACATAAACATAAGGTTCGCTTTCTTTGCTTTAATAAATGTAAGATATAAGCCTTTTTTTGCCTTTAAGATACTAACTAATATTAACAATATGCAAACTTAATTATTGTATGAATAATAGTCTTCATAACATAAAGACACAATTATCATAGATAAATAGCGCATTTTCGACTTATTTCACAAAACACTAATGAAGAAATGCATTGAAGCAGTGTACTTAAAAGCGTGTACGTTAAATGACAGCTTTAAACACTAAATTCCATCAACGTTTATTGATTTATTTATATTCAGTAACTGACAAGTACTCCACTAAATGTGTTCATCCTTAGTGAGTCTTGTTGAAGCTGGTAATTAGAATGATACCTTGTTGCTTTAACCCAAACCTTTTCTCCTGATCTAACTCTCATTATTGCTCCAAATGAACCACAGCTGTGATTAGCATCACCATAGTGTGAATGTAATGCGGTAACTCTATCTTCCAACACCAAGCCAAGATATGCGTATTTTGTATTTAAAGTACATGTATGAATAACAAACTGGTACAGTCCTCCAACAGGGGCTGTGAACAACCCTGTGGTCGTGTCGTAACCTGTTCCCTCGTTCGTGAATGTCTTATCGAATATGAGAATCTCATTCGCAGTATCAAGAACCAGATCTTTCAAGTGATGTGCATAGAAAGCGATCGGAGGTTGCTCGAGCTTTCCTGAGTAGGAAGAATATAATATTTTTGTATTTTATATCTAAGATATCTCAATCAAGGGGCCTATGCAAGTTACAAAATCATATATTTTTATCAGGCATATATCTGTAGAGTTTAAATAGTTTAAAGAGTTCAAATAATTAAAAACTAAAATGTGTGAATGTAAACAAAATTATCTGGACGTCTTATAAGAGTTAGAAATGTACATATGGAGCAACATTGTTTGTTATATATTATTGACCACGTGATATACCAAGATAAAACATGAGTCAAGTAAGCAACAATTTATTTTACAATGATCCGCTGTAGATAGATAGAAATCAAACACAATTGTTATACAATAGGTAACAATACCTTGGAGTTTAATAATTTTCTCTTTTTCAGCCTCGTTGCCACTAGTCAGGTTTTCTCTTGTTTCCTCAAATAATGTTCTGAACGATTCTGTAAAAATGTATGAACAATCTATTCACTAATATCTTACCAAAGTTTAAGGGTATTCAGTACTAAGCATCCTAAGCTATAGTAAATAGCTTTACATAAATAGTTTTATACATTGTATATACATGTAGTTTGCAGATACATGTAGCTATATATTGCAGAAATATAGTTTTTTGTAGTTTTTTGTCTCACTTTGACCCAAATTAACAAAACAAAAAAGTTATAAAGATATACAATATAATCTATATAACCAAAATTATGCATTATTAGAAACATTACAAAGTATAAAGTTTATTTCTTATCTTATTAAAACTGTTTCGGTTAATATATTTTATTCACCTTATGAAAGGGTGCTATTTCGAAACTAGTTCTTAAATATGTAGATTTAAGTACATCATTACAAGAAGCAACAACACCAATTGTATTGTGCTATACAATTGGCTGGATAAAATAACATCTTATTTACACAATTATAAAACAATGTAATGAATAAAGCTCAACCCTGCGAATATACCTTATATACCATATGTGCAAGAGGGTGTGTGTATACAAAAGCTGTAATTCAGTGTATATAGCACGAGACTTTGCCAAATAATAAATCTCACAAGTTTGGAACTGCTACGCTAGGGGGAGGAACTAAATTAACATTATAGATTTTGAATTCATCATTAAGCTCCCTTGACTGGGACACCACAAAAAACAATAGATTATATATAAATTATCTTAAATTTAGCATTTAAACGTTTAAATATGTTGTAAGAAATGTATATTTGATGTGATATATTTTCTATTTTACCTTCTCTCCTTTTTATCTCATCACTTCTCTTTAACATCTCGTCCGTTATGTTTCCTCTCATATCTACAAACATGTCCGTAAAATCTGAAACTGTTTGTTTAATGTCGCCTAATGTATGAGGCCCGTAATATATTTTATTATAATTGTTTTGCAGAAATGCACTGAAATAAGGTATCGGAGGATATCCCTCAGAAACAAGTCGAGGGAAACATTCTAATTGTTCTTTACATAGACTGCACTTTCCAACTGAATTTTAAGTGACAGCACTATTATTAAAAATCAGCCTGTTTCTATTAAATACACACAGTTGATTCCAAGATCTTTTAGAATAGTAATAAAAAAAGTGATGTGTTGACCTTGAATAGCGATTGTTTTCACACGTGAATTTGAAATAATTATTCTTTTGTATTGTCACAAAAGTCATGTAAAGGTGATATACCTCTAGAAACAAAGATGAAAAATAATAGACTCGCTTTGATCGAGACTGTTCATGAAAGACACTGATAGGTGCAAGCACTTACTACACCAGCTAGCACCTGCAGAAGCAGTATTCATTTGTCCATACAATTAAGTAATATAATCAATTATCCTGAAGGACCAGAAAAACAATAATTACACTGAGATGACTGGTTTTATGTAAGACAGTTAGTTACTCATCAAGTAAACGGAAGACTGGTCCTTCTAGTATGTCATATATACTGGCTAGCCAAAAGCTACCAAGCGAAGATATATGAAATATCCGTAATATTTAAGCACTTTTACTTAACACAAACTGTTGATATAATAACGCTCTTATTAGAAACGAATAATTGTTCTCTTTCAACTTCGATTAAAGTCGTTGCTATCAATAGAAAGAAATATCTAATTAGAAATATCTAATAATATAGAACGAGATAGAAAGATAGATACAACATAAAGAAAATTAATAATAAAATAGAGAAAATAACAATCCCTAAAGAAAGCCCAACACGGTAAAATTGATAATAAAAGGCTGACTGATTTGTTTGATTTTCACTGCTTATAGACAATCATAAATATAGTAGCGAATAAGAATATCATGTGAATTGTGAAATCATTAGTAACTAAGTTGTAATTTGAAAATAATAATAATCCCTCTTACTGAACCTACTTTTATAACGAAAAAGTAAACATAAATGTCATTGTATTATTGAAAGGATAACACTATAATTCTTATCGTATTATTTATTGTTTATTTTAAGAATTTGGGCATATATTTTGTAAAACTATCTTTACATCGGACACGAAGGTGATATATTTGCTCGCAGTTCATGAAAATCGTGATGGAAATTAAAACAACAAGGCGTGTCTTTACAACACCCTGAAAATTCCTAACTGTTGGCAACATGATAAGAGCATCAATGGAATTCATTTATTCAACTTACATTATTCAAGAGGTGTTACCTTTTACCAGGATGTATTTGATATTCTTCACGAACATATCCTATTCCCGAAAATAAATACGCAAGTTTCAACTCTTCATGAAAATGTGCTTTGTAATTCACCATGTGATTATATAATTAATTAATCTTTCTCTTTTTAAAACTAACTGTTATAATAACATGATATTTCTTATATTAAGTAGATTTGTTCCGTTTGCATTTATCAAGTGTATCATATTGAAATCTGGAAACAAAGTGATTCCTCGGAAGCATTAATCACAACAAAATTACAGGAGAATTGCAGACTCGGTTTGATTGAGTCTGTTCATGAGGGATAATGAATACGTGCAACATCCCTCACGCCCCCTAGCACCGGCTTGAGCGGTACTCTATTCTCAACACTTAATAGTACTGGCATCAATGATTCCGAAGGACCAGAAAAAATATAACAACACTGAAGTGAAGTACGGGGCAACTTTTTACAGCAGCCACACAACACTTGACACCTGCTGTTGTGAAATATAATAATCTGGAAACAAAGTGATCCTTCAGAAGCATTAATCACAACAAAATTACAAGAGAATTGCAGGCTCGGTTTGATTGAGTCTGTTCATCAGGGATAATGAAATTGTGTTACTCTTGAATTCTAAACAATACTATCATTCATTGCAAACTTGAAATACATGTAGTTCTCCGCGTTACATCGTATAGACGGAGAACTGTTGTCTCAACAGGTGCGATATCAAAACTGGTATAACCAGTTTGGTCACGTGATAAGAGTTATTGACCGTGCGTACGTACGGTTAGTGGTCAGTTCTACAGAGACTCTCGCTTGGTACACGTCGTTAACTACATTAAAATTCAATAACATTTGTGCGAAATGATGTTTATATATGTTTTATTTGTTATAATTAAGAGGCATGTCTGAACTGTTTCCGTTGTTCAGTATTTCTAGGAATAGTCGGGGCATTTCAATGTTAACGCATTGACTAGGCTACGGAAACACGTTTCCTCCTGTTTTTAAAAAAATAATGAAAAGAAAAGATAGGGGGTTTTTCGTGGGCGGCCCGTATTCTGATGAAGAAATATACGTTTGAATTTTCGATTTCCGTCATGATTGAAAACATTCTGGCTTTGCTTTAGAGGTTTTATCAGATTATTAACATGACGCAAATCGCATTTTCGATTGTAGCATGCTTATATTTATCTAATAGAATACACATGATTAATGAGTGATTAATTCTTGAGTTATAGAATTATATTGTAATAGAAAAGTATTATTGTAATAACGAATGTTTACTCCTCAGTTGTGTACCAATAAATACGTGTCTCGCCTTGCAGTTGTTGTTGTTGTTGTTTTGGATAGTGCCTGTTGAGACCTTTTGTTCTATCGTTATCTTTGATTTCTGTTCTGTTTCAAATATAGGTTATACACTGTCATTATGAGTTCAAGATTGCTGGTTCAAACATACATAAAACTGAGGAAAGAAAAAATTATATTATATTATACACAATAGGATTTTATAATTGACTTTATTAGTTAATTTTGCTATTAAGGTGTAGCATCATCGCCAGATTCCCTCGGACGAACCATTTAACATTGCTGTGGAAGAATATAAATTTTGTTAAACACGATTTTATTGATCGTTATCTAACGCATCTGTTGCTGTACATCGAAGCAATTTGATTCATTTTACCCACGGTTGATTACATGTTACAGCATTTACTACAGAAAGGTTGGTTGTGCATTAGCTATACAGGCACAATAAGCTATGTCCACTTCTTAAAAACACTTGTATAAATTTGCTTATATACAGAGAGGATAAGTCTGTGTCCCTTATTTTGACGAATATTGTTTGACAAATTGATTTTTAGATATAGTACATATGCAATGGTTTTTAATACTATTGGTGTGAAAAAACACAGGACACTTTCATATGTCATTTTGTTATAGAATGTGTAATGAATAATGACATTAGAAAAAGTATATTGTCGAAAATATTGGACATCGAAGCTTTTGGATCTTATAAATTCTGAAAATAAAAACATGCTAAGAAACTTAGACCCCTGTCACACTAGTGCGGCGTTCTCACGGCGTCCAAGGACAATTCAGAACGCCGAGATGAGCGCAGTGAGATCGCAAACATCGCTGTACCATCGCAGTGGCATCGCATAAAACGCCAACCGATAACGCGCATTTTGAGCATGCTCAAAACAAACGCCGTCACTTGGCGTTCTGATAAGAGCGCTGTGAGATCGCAGTAAGGGCGCCGTAGCAGCTCAGTAGCATCTCCTACAACGCATCCGGGCGCCGTAATAGCGCCGAAGGATCCCAATATGAACGCCGTGGTTTGTCAGAGCTTGTACAGATATTGAGCGGCGTCTCTACTGAGCTTATACTGCGTGCATGTGTACGGCGCTTTTATGGCGCTCTATTTTTCTAAAACACTCTTACTGCGCCTTCACGGCACTGTCACAGCGACCATTGCGCTCTCAATTCGATTCTACTGTGTCCATCTGAAATTGCAGAATACATTACATTAGAATCTCTAGGACCAACCCGAAATTAAGACCACCACTCTATTAAGACCAATGTTTAAGTGAACGGACTTTTCTGTTCTTTATGTAATTGTAACATGATCCACAATTAAGACCAACCCACTTATACACTTTTAATACCAACAGTGTCAGTCCCAATGTATTGTTTTATTTATCAAACTCCACTATTGAGACCACTAATATTCCAGTCAATACCTATTTAGAGCACAAAATTGTTGTAACTCATCTAAAGCAAGACACTCGATGAAACAAGGTGTTAAAACCGTTATGATTGGAAAATTAAATAAAGGTAAGAAAATAAACTTCCGAGGGGTTTAATGTTACTTTCTGCAAATTTATTTTGTAAAGAATTAATTTTTTACTCGTAATTAATAGGTGAATTACATACATGAATAAAGACTTTGAAAATTTAATCTTTTATATCAAATACATTTAGACTTGTGTTCTAATTAGGATAAAATATTATAACATAAGTCTATAGTAATAATTGAATGTTATTACTATAATTGTTTCAACATGATTATACAAAATAGTTCAAACAGAGAGCTCATGAAATATATATGCTCTGTTAATTATATCCACAATTAAGAACACCAGCATTAAGTCCAGTCCATTTGGTGGTCTTAATAGAGGATTTTTACTGTATATAAAAGACGTGTTTGCAAGTAAATAACCTTTTCACCATGGATGATGAACGTCTGCAAGCTGGAATATTGCTTGATTGCATGCAGGTGCAGCAGAGTGGTAATCGCTGGTATATGAATCATGATTTCAGCGCAATATGAGCACCGTGTGTTATTTATAAACTCAAGAAAAAAAACATTAAATTACTCCACCCAATACAAAACATGACCCTCAGAATTTCATAGAATGATTTTAGATTGACGGTAGAAAAAAAGACCAGTGGACAACAGAATCGTGTTTTTTCAAGAACACATGTTTATAAAACAAGAGCTGTCGGTAGGACAGCAACGCTCGACAATTCTTAGTGCTCAAAAAAGCCTTGATAATGTAAAATTTTCTAAGTAAAGAAAAGGGTAAAAATTTTCTTTAAATCCATATTATAGATATATGCCTTGAAGAGAGTCCTATTAAGTTCTCAAATAAGACAATAAAATTTCATCTTGTCTCAAAGCCATATGTCAATGGAC